GCCGAGAGCCCGAGACAGGCGGGTAGGGATTGGGGGACTGGGGGGGGCTGGAGGGGACTGGGGGGGGGGGGGTTGGAAGCCGAAAAATTGTTTTTCTGAACAATATCTGTTTGGTTGCCCGGCAGAAACCAAACATGGTACATCAAGCCTGCCGCGCGCGGTTGGGCACTGGAGGGGAAAATTATAAACATGGATGAAGCAGATCGCAAATGAGTTGAAATGTTTTGGCACAACAAATTATGGTGGACATGCAGGACCAAAATGGAAGAGATGGGAAGCAAAATGGATGCTTCCTCTTTCTTTGGTCAAACATGGGTGAACTGGGGCTCTCAGAATGGAGGAAGTAACCCAATCTCTAGGTTCACTCCCTCATCTAAAATTGGTGTCGCCCAGGAAAAGCATGTTTGACGAAATGTGGTTGAAATGCCTCGGAAGAAGTTGGTGTCAAATGGGTCTACTCTTAAGATGGGGTGGATCGGTCTGGAGCTGTTCCTCTCTTGGGGCTTCTGTTCGGTGATGTGCCCATTTCGCATGGATGAGTTTGGTTGCTCTGACACTTGCTGCCTGTTTTCAGTAGCACTCGCCGGATCCATCCAACTGGTGGTTTCCGGCAAGGGAATCCAAAGGTTCATTCCCAAAACCTTCGAAAGCCCTAGAAACCAGCAAGATCTGACATGGGATGGAGAAAAACACACTTTAGCGCTTCAAAATTCGGAGACCTCAACTATGCCCAAGGATGCTCAAGGGGAATGCCTTTGGATGACAAGCTGGGCTTTTTAGGGTTGCGAGTTGCGAGCCATCAACGCGCTTCAACCACTTTGCGAATGTTGCAGGGTACAAGGATACAATGAGGCCCCATGCGCTTGACTCGCACGCGCGCAAACAAGCATGCTTGCCACACACCTGTGTGTCACACACCCGGTGCTGAAATAAATGCCACGTTTAGTGACCCAAGTGCATGTCGGGATGAGCGCGGATTCGACACGGAGCCAGGGCTTGGTTTGTGATTTGACATGAGGGCCTGCCAGCGTCAAATAGGGAAAGAAAGAAAAACATAACAATATACAAATATACAGAAACACATAGTATATATCTCTTTGTGACTCGGTCTCCCTGGTCCTGGACTTTCTCCGTCAGAGCATCTTTGGCACTGGCGAGTCTCTGCATGAAGTCGGCGGATTCCTGAACCACAACTCTCTCTCTCTCTCTCCCTCCGTTTCGCTCTCTCTGTTGCCAGGGTAGAAGTAGAAGTCCGGGTGGCTTGAATTGGATTGAACCAAAACGGGGGAATAGGCCATCTACTTTCACCGAACTGTACCCCTGGCGGTGACCCCAGAAGCAAGGGCAAACAAGTGAGTGGAGCGCAAGTCTGGCAGTTCATGCTGAGTGGCGCTTGCAGCTGGCCAAACATTGTCAAGCCGTGTCAAGCCAGGAAAGGAGCGACTTGAAACATCGGCTCCTTCAATGAGCCTCTTGAAAAAAACAAAACATGAGAACCCACATCCACCAAGCGTGACCTGGCAGCAAAGAGTAGGTAAGGTTCCGACCCTAAACCCTAAGCAAGCCTTAAGTCTTACTGTTGGCTTTTGGGCCCCGAAGAGCGAGTCCACGAGCAGCAAGGTAGCAAGAAGTACATGCGCATCCAAAAACCGCATGCTTCATCTGACAAGGCAAGGAGAACTCTTTGCATTTCAGTCCAATGCCAACTGGGACGAGAAGAGGTCCTGCACTCTTCTCCCTCACCCACCGGCACCTCTGCCCTCTGACCCCCATCCATGCCAACTAAAGCTGTTCATCACAGACGTGGCTTGGGCTTGGACCGACCGCTAGTAAGCCCTTGCTGCAACGACCAAATCGTACTAGAAGACACCAAACCATACTAACTAACCTGGCCCCAGCAAGAGGGTGTGTCACCCCAAAAGCGATACCTTTAGAAACACACCCATTTCCAGCCTGCACATCATACCACCAGGAAGCCAACTGAAAGGGGTACCTGTCCAAAATCTCCCCACTAGGAAAATCCACCCAAGTTGAACGTTCCAAGTCCATATATCATACAAGCAACTTGTGAACGTCCATTTTGCAAAAGGCCTCAAAACCCGTCCATGTTTACATCCGATGGGTATAGGCGGCCTTTTCGCAAAATGGTTGGGGTTCCCTCGAAAATGGAACAATTAAATCCCATCTAAACCAGTGCCATCCCTTCTTAACCATAACCCAAAAAGGACGCCTATGCCGATGGGGTTGTCCCAGGTCTCCTCGTGCTGGTGCTCGCTGCGATCTTGCATCTGCCGCAGCTCTCTGTGGAGGCGGCCCTGCATCTCGCGCTGCGCCCGCGCCTCCTCCTGATCCAAAAGCGCCAGAGTGGCGCTTGCGTGGCTCGGGATCCTTACATTATACACGCCTGAACATGGCCTTGTCAATGGCGGGTTCCCGTTAGTTTGGTGGAAAAAGCAAGATGTGCCAAATGGTTGCAGAATGTATCTTTGAAGGAGTTCTGGGTAACTGGGCATGTCAACGTAGGGGGACCTAACAAACCTGTGAGCCAATCCCAAAATGGCTCTCAAACGAAGAAACACCCGAATTGAATAGCCAATCCCCATTTTGTTTCCCACAAGAGTTAGACACAAGTGCTATTTAGCACTCAGGCAGCGGTGGTGGCTAGTTTCATTACGCCAACTTCTTCAGGAGCGAAGTTGGTAAAGGTGAGTCCAAACGTGGACTCAGCACTGCAGATACATATATGTATATAATATACTTGCACATGGCGAGTTCACAAAATCATGCAGGTTTCCCTTCAGGGTTCGGTGCGATGGTTCGGTGCCCGATGGTTCGGTGCCCCTCTAGCTGCCTCCTGCAAACCAAACACACACACACACAAACACACAAACACACAAACACACAGCACGCAAGTGCCTCGTTGGGATCCCACCGTCGAAAATGGAAAACCGCAAGCCCAAGAGATCCACTCGAAAGCTTCTCCAGGAATGGCCCCTCTCACATTAGCCCTCCCCAGCCAAAACAAGGCCCGGCGTGGGACAAACAGCCTTTCAGCTTGTCTCTAAGTGACGAACCTCCAAAAACAAACCAGGGATCCTTACATTATACACCTGAACATGGCCTTGCAAATGGTGGTGTTCCTTTTTGGTGGAAAAAGCCACATGCTTCAGATGGTTGCGCAATGTATCTTGTAAGGAGCCCTGCAAACGGTGGTCCTTTAGTTCCCCAATCAGAAAGGGTAACGGCACCCAATTTTTCGGAAGCCATCTGGCCTGAAGCTCTTGCCACAGCAGCGCGCACTCATCCAACATGCCCCGAGAGGCCAGGTCTGTGTCCTCCGTGCCCAGCGGGGCTCTTGCAGCACTTGCCGGTGGAACGGGGTTTCTTCGGGTGGGTTTTTAGGTGGTCGCCCTTTTTGGTTGGGCAATGAGACATAGACATGCCAAAGTTCAAGGCTAAAGATCCGCCCAAATACCAGAAGAGTCGGCCAGGACAAGTGCAAATGGCAAATCGATGCAAATCGGCATCTACCAAATTCAACCACACTCACTTGACCCACCCGAAACACACACACCATGCCACCGAAGCAGAACAGGATAGCTCATCTCGCCTGTCTTTCCTGACAGTTAGTTGTTTTGTCCGGAGCAGGCAATCTGTGCAACAAAACATGTTGTCTTTCACACAGCTAACTCAATTTCTGACTCCCCCAAGGAGCCCTCAACAAGAGGTGATTCATGCCCCACAAAAGCGAGCCCCCTAGATTGGGGTACTTGATGACTGGTTTCTAGTTGTTGCCCGGAGATCTGCGCAAACCCCTAAAGTGAGAAACGAATTGCCAGAGCCAAGCTCTTCGGAGCATGCAAATATCCCCACGGATCGAACCTGAAGTCCCCAGCTACGGCCTAGGTCACATTGCTGGAACCCAGTCGCAGTCCCAAGCTTTCCGGCGGATTGGTTATTGGGGGCCTTGAGCCTTCCGTTTGTTTCGAAGCGACAGCCCGAAAGCCGTCCTCCTCGATGCCACGGGCCATGTCGCCCAGCATGGCCAGTAGCTTCTCATCCTCGGACCCGAAGGGGTGGGCATCACGCATCACCTGCGGAACATACGCGGCCCCCGCGTGGCCGCGTGGGGGGTGGGCGCAGCTGGAAATTGGTGCGGGTCAAAATGAAACCGCCAGGAATTGGATCGCAGGCTCTAGTCCAAGTTTCCATTCACCAGGGCAACCCATTTCGGGTACATATGTTTGACCCACAGCTCAATTGTAACAACGGTGTATCTTTGGACACATGTTTCAAAGGGACGCCAAAAGACCCCTAATTTTTGGTACAACTATTGTGTGTGTGTGTGTCTGTGTGTTGCGGTCCAGGTGGCACATGTCGGTATGTGCCGTGACCCTCTGGAATGCCACATGTCAAAGATGCAGGGGCTGACGTTTCGAATGACATTCTTTTAAAAGCACCTTGCCTGGCGGAGCGTGGTGGGTGTTGGCGTCTCATCATCCGCCATGCAATGCTCCATGCATAGCTCATTCCCGCTTGGGCCAGCGTCCGGGCGATCACTTGACAGACATTTTTGGCATGCAAGCACCGCTCAAGGCACTTCTGCAGGAGTGGCTGGGCAACATCTTTGCATCATACAGCCATGTGCTGGATTCGGGCCAGCGTTCTCTAATTCTCTCCCGAACACAGAAGCGAACAGGCCCCACGACTTCCGTCTTGGGCAGGCCTGTCTTCCACGCTGGGGGGGAGGGTTCTCTTTCAGTTGCAAATGGGCATGCTGGGTGGAGGACCCCCCCCCCAAGAAAAACACGGTGGATTTCATTTTGGTTGTCCTATAAAGCCACAAGCCCAACAAAAAAAAGGGGTACCTGGCACCCTCAAAAAGAAAGGTACAGGCGCGAATCCGCCCCGGCGTTGCTGAAAAAAATCCGCTGTATGACCATCCAGGCCCCTGGGATGAGTTGCATCCACCTAGGATGAGTTACATCCGGGGCCCTGGCCCATAGGCAGCAGCAAGTGCAAGTGCAGGTCCAAGCCTCAGGTGCTCAAAATGGGGTCATGACCCAATGGGGTCATTGACCGTCATTGACCCATTTTTAGAGGGTCATGGAGACAGGTGGAAGGTTTTCAGGGCCCCATGTTTTTTTTTGGTACCATGATCAAAGTCACCCCCGTTCAGTGGTGGGTTAAAGGGAAACAACCGATTCCAGTTTCTGACTCGGATAACTCCCGGAAACCGTCGAAATAAGGACCCCAGCGGTGAGAAGTTCAAAAATTGGACACCGGCCACTTCCTGGGCCTCATTTGCTTTTTCTTTGGATTTGCCTCTGGATTCATGCGTCGTTCAATATCTGTTTTTGAGCAGGTTGCCCAGGTTGTCCTAAAGATTAACTCCGGACTTGTCACCAACCGTGCAAAAAGCTACCTCTTGTGCGTGTGCAACTGGTCGTATGTCGATGCACGCCACTTCACCTAGTCCAGGTCGGTACTTGGACTCCGGCCGCACAAGGTTGCGGCTCCTTGGGCGCGAATCAAACAGACTCAGAAGTGGCAGGGCTCCCAATACTTCATCCGAAAACAACATGCCAAAAAGAAACTCGTTATTGTGGCAACATGTGGCAACCAAAAGGTGCTCCGTAAACCGGGCTGGAAAGATACATGTAGGGAGCCCAGAGTGCACAAATGACATGCACCGTGCCTCACCCGTCCAAACTCTGGCCAAACAAATGCTGCCTGCCCGCTGGGTCTTGCACTTATGAGCGGGGGAACCCCTTGCAGATTGGAAGGTGGAAGCTTTGTCACGCGTAGCGGCGTAGCGGTGAAGAATCATTGCTGCGATGTCTGTGCGCGCCCCACTTGCTTAGGCATACAGGAGGCTCTCAACACTCAAGGGCCGACCCACTAAACCACAACTCTCAAGGGAAGCGAGTCATCCAAATCACCGCCAAATCGTCAGAGGTATGGCCCAAAGAGGAATGCCAAAGAGGAATGGCCCCAGTTGTGTGCAGCACTGGGAACGTCTACGTTAACAAGTTCCGGAAGACTCTTGACGCATTCTATTGCGCATCACCATTCTTGTGCCGCACTCCAACATCTTACCATGTTTGCCCAGGTCATTCTTGTCAAGCAGTTACCTGCTCTGCCTTCATGACTTCCACGGTCTTCTTGTCATGGACCCCAAGAAACCACAAGCAACATTATGTCCTTTGCAAAACGTCATTGTAGAAGGACCATGTACTGCAACCCCACGACTCTTTATGATCATCGATCTCTCATATTGTCTTTACAGTTTGGCTCAAGTAAGCAAGACTGGCACGATCTTGCAAGATTGGACGGGTGTTTCCCACAAAAAGGCGGGATTCAGTTGAACTTATCCGACACCCTGGCTCGTTTGTTTGCCGAGAGTCTTTCTTTGAAAGCCGCGGCATCAGCACCTCAGCCGCGCGCGCTTCGCGACTTCCTTTCTGCAACATGCCGGCCAACAAGCCTACCAGTCACCAGGGCAGCTGTGGACGGACAAACCCATTTTGCACCAGTTATGTTGGATGTAGCCCTACGAATGCTGGGGTTAACCAGCTGCCAACTGGCGCGAAATGGATTTGTCTACCCACAGTATTAAACCACATCACGCATGTTGAGAATGGCTGGTAGCTATATATCCCCATTAGCTTGCGGTTTGGATTCTTGGCCCCCTCTACAAGCACCACAGCTTCAAACCCTGAAAGCAGCAACGACAAACAATGACTCAACGACTGGACCTTGCCTCTCGTTCCAGGCGACTTTCCGTGAGTTCTTGTCAGGTCGGACGAGTGGGAAAGCAACGTGGGACCCGTGGGACCCGCTTTTGCTATTGGAGCCGCCTTCACAGAATGCTGTTACGCCCTCATTCAAGAGCATCTGACTGTTTTCGGGGTTCGCTGCTTCCAGACAAAAATCCGGGCAACAACTAGATCAAGCCTTAGCCTTTTACTCTTGGAATTCCTGCTTTTTAAGGTGGTCCCCAAACCATCGCTTGTTTTGTTTGTTTCCAAATCCCTTGACCTCACGATATTTTTAAAAGCACAAAACAAGGCTCACGGCGGGTAAGCCACAGAGATTCCGATCCTCTTTAATGTGACTTTTGTGGGGCCCGCTTCAACGTCAACCGTTTTTTTTCTCCCGGCCGGGTGTGAAATTCCAGGGTCAAAGCCTTCGCCGGCCTTAGGCTTTCTCTTAAGAAGCGGTCTAGCTAATCCCGAGCTAAAGGCTAAAGGCCTTGGATCCTGTTTTTGAAGTGGTCTCCATAAATTACAAGTCCCCTGACTGTTTTGAGGTTCGCTGTAATGCCACGCTTGCTTTGGGGTGGGTGGCGACTTAAAAGGGTGGTTTATCTGAAATCTGAGATTCGTCCTGAAAAAAACTAAATTTTGAGTTGCCAATGTGAAAATAGTACTGGCAATCTGAGATTGCGCCTTGGCAACACAAATTTACAACTGGCCATTCTACATCAAGCACTGGAAATCTGAGAGTACGTCTTGGCAATTTCTAAATGAAGCACTAAATGCAGAATTGGCAACTCAGCATCACGCACTGAGAATCTGAGAGTAAGTCTTGGCAATACTAAATTAAAATTCTTGAATTCGCGGCAAGTACTAAACAAAGCATTGGCAAGTCCAGCCCAGGCCCCCCCCCGCCTTTCCCACTCAAGAGGCTCCAAATCATTGTTTGGCGGGGGTGGTCGGGGTGGTGGTGGATAGAAAAACATCGCCGAATTCGATTTGTTAGCTAAGACAGACATGGCGTGCTCTCCGCGACTCAGCTCGCAGCTCGAAACGTTCTTGAAGACCTCAGGCAGTAAACCCAAAGCAAGCATGTCTTTTTGTGTGCCCTTCTCCCTTGGTCCAAAGGGCAGCCAAAGGAATACCAATTTTGGGGGGTTCCAAAGCCTTTTTTGACGCATTCCTTGATTGTGATTGATCCTCGGATGTGCCGATGTGCACTTGTCTTGGATGCTTACAGCTTGCAAAGTACCAGCCTCAGCTCACAGCAATTCATCACACAGGGTTCTCTATGTTTCCCCTTGCAACATCACCCCCACCAAGGGAAACTCACCGTAAATGGGCCAAACTGGGCGGATATTTTTTGGGGGGAAACATAGGGACCCCTGTCACAGCCTATTTTGCACACGGAACAACCTGGCGGCTCCCCGCCTTCACAGCCACCTTTCGTCCGCTGGGCAGCTTGCCACCTACATACTGGCCGCCCAGCGCCTCGCCAGCGTCCCTGGCGGAGCTTGGGCGCCAAAGGCACCGGTGCGCCAATCGGAAAAAAACAACTTCGCATGCACCGCTTAGGACGGCTTAGGAGGGAGGGCGGAGGGATGGCAGGCTGGCAAGGGGCTCGTGGATGATTTGTTTTTGGGGTGGAGGTTTCTTCTTCTGCTCCCCTGCGAAAAGTGTTTAACTTTTAGTGGTTTAATGGAAAACCCATCGGCTGGCAAAAAGTTAAAGTCCTAGCATCCAAGCAAAATGCACCAAAGACAACTTAGCATGCACCGCTTAGGACGGCTTGGGAGACTGCGGGTTTACACCCCAGCTAGGTCCCTTGAAAGGACTCTGAGCACTGAAGCCGAGCTCCCGGGACAAACGTCTGGGGCCGGCTGCTCCCCCCAGGATGAATCTGTATGAATTTGTAGGCAACGGCAAGGTGCCATCCCTCTGAAAGCTTTCCCGGGGGGGGGTGGGCGACCAGCAAAGCCCCGCCTGGCTGCCAGCAGTGTCTCCGCACTCAGCTGATACTGCGAGTGTGGGTCATTTGGGACGGACTCTTGCGCCTCAGGCCGCGAGTTCGAATTCCAAAAAGGAACAGTCGGGCTTCCCATTGCCAATGCGGCCCTTCCGCTTCTCAGTTTGAGGAGCTGGCACCCATGGCATGGGCGCTGGCGCGGACTATGCACGGCTTTCCGCGTGGATGTTCTGAATGTGTCGCAGGGCTCAAATAAACCTGAGTTAGTCTGTTCTCATTGCTTACATCCGCATGAGCCAAGTGGCTTGCCAATCAACCATGAATCATGCTTGTTCGAAGCCGGAAGAAAATCAAATGTCAATGCTGAGTTACACAGCGCAAGGCTTGCGCCAGCTTGGGCGCAGCACCTTTTTTTCTGGATTGACATCCCAAAGCTCCGGATGACCCAGGATCACTTCGCGGTCGGTCTCGTGAATGAGGAACCAGCCGGCAAAGGCCTGGCGACATCCCCTCGACAAGTATCGATACCACACGTGCCTTTCAGCAACAGCTGGAGGCAAATCATGCAGCCATGGCTTCGGGGTAGGACTGTGGCTGCTTGGCTGGCTGAAAGTCATATACCTGGATCAAAATCCCTGAAACTTCATGTAACCGCCTCCCGGTCTCGCAGGCCGGGACCCCGCAGCACCAGAAGCATAGGCCGCAGCGGGCCGATCGGCTGGTCGGCAATGACCACGTTGAAAGTGGGCCAGGGCCCGACGGGTGCCATGGGCCCGGTGCCCTGCATCTTTTTTCGTCGGCCCTCCAAACATCACAATGGCCTTGCCTTTCTCAAATGCTCACATGGGAGTTTCTCAAAATAGCCGGCCCCTTTGGGCAGGAAAGCAACCGGAACCCAACCGTTTCAGGACATGGATCCCTTCGAACTCGGCTTTCTCTTTCTGAAGCCTGCGGCCTCGCAGCGGAGGTGGTGCTGTAGCAAGTTCTCCGAGAAGATTCGGAGCCACTGCACGCAGTCCGGCTCCGACTCCGTGACCGTCAAAGCCACAGACAGGCCCTTGGCCTTCGCCAGCATGCCTGCGCGCGCGGCCCAGGAAGCCGCGCCAAAGGTCGCCACTGCAAACCCGTCCTTGGCCTTGCCCCAGCGAGAGAGCTGAAGTCACCAAGAAAACGTGTCTACGTGTCAAAATAGAGGGATATGGACCAGTTTTTGTGTTTCCTATGAAACAAATTCCCCGAAACAGAGCCCAAAAATAATCCCCTCAAAACACCCCCCCCCCCCCCAAATGCTGCTTGATCTTCGAGGGCCAGTTGCAGCCCGCGTTGTTATTGCGGCCTTGCCTGCAGAATGGCCTGACAAATTGCCACAGTCAGGGGGTAGTCATCGTCGACCAATGGGAGAGGCGGGTAGGCCAATTGCAGCCCTGAGCGAAGGTATGCCTCCTGCAAGCGGCAGAACCACTGGGGCGCCAATCTTCTGCACAGCCCTGTCGGAAATCGCAAGCCGGTCCAATCAAAGACATAGTCTTCCGAAACAGGCCGCATCTGAACGGGAAACTGAGCCAGCGCGGCGTGATGTTCCTGGGCCAAACATAGGACCCCTGCAAAGCTCCTGTTCGCCCCTTTGAAAGGGAAAACCGGCTCGGCCGTGAAAAATGCCAAGAGTGGAAGTCGGGGAAATCCAATCATGGGAAAGCCCACTATTTTGCCACCCCGCCATCCACACATTCACCACAAAGCTAAGTCCGGCAATGGTTCAAGTTGCAAACCCTCAGGGGTCACTGCATGCGGCAGCTGTTTTGGAGCCTGTACCGCTCCAGCTTGCCTGTACCGCTCCAGGGAATCGAAGAACTGCCAGCCGCTGGACTTCCCAAACATGCCCAGCTCCTGCAAGGTGTGCTTCACATAAGGTCTACTCAAAACACACACGGTACAGAATCAAGGCCGGCTCAGCTTGAAAGCGACCCCAAAAGGAAAAAGGTACCTTTAAAAACATGATTGAAACTGCCATGGCTGATGGGACCCATGGAAACCCGCAAACCCTGGCCTGAGCACGAGCGCCCTCTTTAAGCCTGCCTCCGCTTGACAAAAAACGCAGCGCACAGTATTGACAAGAGCACCCAGATGTTTTGCTCAGTTCTTGGGCCAGTCTGCGACTCTTGGTACATTCGTGCCCACTCCTCCTCGAACCTGCAGCCTTTGCCAGGGTCCAAGTTCTGGCGAGCACAGCTGCGAAATGGGCCTTGATGAACGCGATAAACTGGAACCTCTGCTGTGGCCAGCACGTAACCGATGTGATTCTCCACGTTCCTGCAGCGTTCCGACGGCGATTGCACAGAAGGCGATTGGTTGCAACACAAAACCGAAACGCTATTCTTGGCAGAAAAGCCATTTGTTTCCACAAGGTCTAAGGGGCGAGTTGGTCACACCAAAGCGAGCCTTTCTGGTGGCAGGGAGCACCTCTTGCGGTTTTTTGGCACATATTTCGGCGCAAACATGCACGAACTGCGCACGCCAACTGCCCCCAAAATGCCAAGCCTCACATCCAACCCAAGAATCAAAGCGTACCGAAACCATAGCAGTGAGTCAGCGACTGGGGGAAGTTGTGCCTGCCACAGGCGCCAAACCATTCCAGCAAATCTTTGCGCTTCTCTGGAAAGACCACCGAGTCATAGCGGCCAGTCAGATAAGCCTCCGCACTTCGGCGATCACACCAAGCATGGTGATCGTTGAGCCCCCCCCAGTCGTTGTCGCCCCGGTACCAAGGGATCCAGCACCCGGCGTTTCGCTGCAGTGGGGGGTGGGACTCAAGCCACATGTTGTCCATCCTGGAGATGACAACATGCAGGTATCTGTGTCCTGCGAGCGTGGAAACGTACATGGCCTAGACTTGCTTTTTACTTGCCACTGCTCAGTCTTAAGAATCCAGCAGGCAGGCAGGCATTGGCAAACATTAGCAGGCATGCGCGTCAATAACACAAGAAGGCCGCCTCTCTCCCGCTCTTCTGCTTCAATCAACTCACGGCAAAGGCGAAGGCTCAGCACTTGAAACCAGCCAGTCCCATCAAATACGACACCTCCAATGAAATTGCCAGGGATGTCCAGCACCTCCCTCCAGCCCGAAAAGCGTTCCAGGTAGCTAGCCGCTTCATCATTGGTCACCACTTCCGCGCGCTTGGGCTGAAATTCGCCCAGGGCCTCCTCCTCAGCGGCCACCAGAAATAGGTCCCCCTGCAGCTCCTCCAGGACGTGCCGCCGAAACGCGGCGGACGCATTTGGCGCGCCGAGGCGGCCCGTTAGGCAGATGGCGGTCCCCTTGCCATACCACACGGCCGGAGCGGAGCGCGAGCCGGAGAATCGGAAGCACTGCTTCCTGAGCTTCGCGGCCGCCCAAGCGCGGTACTCCACATACAAAGGGGGGAAGCAGCTGCATCGCCCACAGTCCTGACATGCCAAACCAGCCAGCCGCCAAACCAAGCAACCAAGCTAGCAAGCAACCAAACAAACAACAGAACAAAACATACAACACAGAAGCAAAGAAGCATTCAAAGAAGCAAGCAATCAAGCGAGCGAGCAAGCACAAACAAACAAACAAACAAACAAACAACCAAACAGGCAGCAGGCAAGCATGCAAGCATGCAAGCAAGAAAGCCAACAAACCAACAGCCAACAAGCCAACACAAACCAACAAACCAACAAAATACATTGCGCACACACACAATGCAGAGGAACGGTGCACTATTCCCAAGGAGGCAATCCCCAAAAAGCCCTCCCGTCAGGCCTGACACAATGTCCGATTGGTGTCTGCCGCTGCGCAGCAGGTGTCGCAGCTGGGTGAATGACACCAGTGCGCAGCTGCGAAGGGCCAAACGAGCGCCAAACGCATCCGAACGTGGAACTGAGCCAAATGCGACATGAGTTGACTCAACCCGCGAGCTGAACAGGAAAGTCACTTGTCTTGTTTGTTTTTTGGTCCGGGGGGGGGGGGGGTTGGCCTTCATACTGCGCTGCAAGATGAAGGCGGGCTAACATGTTGCTGGCCAACTGGCCCTCTCCAGCTGTTTTTTCTCAAAACCCAAATCCATTGCCACCTTTCCCATCAGGCGCCTAATTGAAAAGCAGCTCAGCTGCTCTGAATGTTCAAACTTGCGTCCCATGCCCCAAACCGAGGCTTGAACTCTTGGCAGCGCAGATTATGCTTCGCATCCCGCGACTGCCCAAGCCCTTGATGCTTGCCATCCTAAAAATCTCGCATCCAACCATCAGAATGCATCAGCGCTGCATCGCTGAGGTTTGATGCATGCCAATCTAAAACAACTCGGCCACTTTTGCCGCCAAACCACTAGCCGGGGCTCAAGTCAAAGCCGACCGACTTTCGTGTGCTGACACGAGTAGTGGCACGGCTAGTGCTACGTTTCCCCGGCAAAAGGGCAAATCGCCGCAGGTATTTCTGCATCCATCTGTCGAATTGTCCTTGGCAAGCACATGCGCACTTTGGGTCAGGCAACGGGAAAAATCACTGGTCACTCACTAACTCACTGACTCACTCGCTCACTCCCTCACCCCTCACTTCCTCATACTTTCTCACTCTCTCATACTCCCTCATGCTCCTTCAATACTCATACTCCCTCATACTCCGTCATAATCCCCCACTCCCTCTCTTCAAATTACACACCCATCCGCTTGAAGGCATCATGCATCGCAATGTGCCACCAAAACAGCGCTCCAACTCTGGCAGGTTTGTGTTCATGCAGATCGCCTTTCTGTTTACCTATCATTCGCTTGGGAAGCTGCATGTTGATTCCTTGGGGGAAGTATAGCCGTTGCATCTCAGTGCATTTTGCAGCCAGGTCTCCTACGGACATCGACACAGGCTCCAGAAATACCACCTCCGAAGCTTTTGGCTGCTCCGGGCGCTGGAAGAAGGGCACTGGCTTCTTCACTTGCTGCTTCTTCTCCTCACCAACCCGCCCCCTTCCCCCTGCACCGCTGAGCCTTAGGACAATAGATGGGTTTCCCTGGTAAATGGAAGAAGACCATCTAAACCAGTGGAACATAGTGGAACCCATCCCCATTTTTCACCCAACTCAGCGATCAAGACGTGAGGACCCTCAATCCCTCTCCCATTGGGGCGCTGCGGTGCCCCAAGCCGTGGGCTTTAGCGCGTCGCAGCAAATGGGCCATCCAAACGGCAATGGGTCAGGCGAATAACAAATAAAAAGAAAAATGGGGAAGCGGATTAAAAACAAAAAAGTCGAAATCTTCGTTTCTCGTCGCTTTCACCCCGACTTTGACCGAACAAGGAACCCTGGTTCTGGTTGGCTCAAAGTGCAAAACCTGCAGGTCCGCCCGCCTGCACGTGGATTTTCCCAATGCCAAACTTCTCCTCCGTCTCCGCCATGCGGGCCAGCCTGTCCTGGCACGAGAAGTGGAAACCACTTCAAAACAGCCACCCAACACAAAGGCGAAATCTGGGGAAGGGTTCCATCGGCACGCCACATTGCTTGGAGGGCGGGGATGCGCCAAATGGCCACCTCGTCCCGGCCTTCCGTGCCGCCTCTTGCTCCAACCTGTGCTCCGTAGAGCTGGTGGCCATATGGAGCCTCTCAACCGGGTCCAGTAGGGCATCCGCATTGTCAAGCCTTGGCTTGAGAGAGCGGCCAACTGGGGTCATTATTTTGATTGTTTCCAGGGGTCGGCACAGTCAGAAAATGGAATCGGTTGTTTCCCTTTAACCCATCACTTAGGGGGTGACCTTGATCATGGTAATAATGAGGCCAGGCCAAGGCTACACAAATCAAAATGTGGGTACTTTTGATTGCCTACACATACGCATTGGCAATCCACACACAACGTCTGCACATTGCGTATGTGAGTACTTTTGATCCAGGACTGACTCCTGCGACCCCTCCCACCATACGCATTGAGAATCCCAAAATTTGCCCATGCTACACAAAATGACTGGTGCGAAGCTTGCGAACAATTTGGCTAAGCCCAAGGCCAAAATCCAAAAGGCCCGACTTCATGGCAGCCACAGTGCAAACTTGGAGTGCAGAAGTAGTATGCGAGTTGCGCTCTCATAAATCCAGCTAGGCAATCGCAAAGTGGCACGCGAGAAGGCAAACGGGCTTGGGTACACGGAATTCTGGGGTTACATGACACGACATGCTTGACAATATCTGAAAACAATATGTTTGACTGCGACGAAAGCCAGGACATGGAACAACAGCAACTGAGCCGCCAAAAGGCCCCAGCTTCGCCGGCAGTCGAACAGAACTCTTTGCTTTTCAGCCATGGAGCATGAAGATCATATCCGCCTTCGAGTCTGCCTTCCGAATCTCCGGGTCTCGCTGGCGATAGCTGACGCCGTCATCAATGCGGAGGATGCCCCGAACCTTAGAGGCCCGTAGCTCGTGGCACCGGGGTGGCCGCTTGGCACCAACCTGTGCGTGCTGAATGGGGGGGGTGCCAGGGGTGCAAGGGTTCCAGTTGTCCGCATGCCGCAAAGCACTTGCCGGCTGTGACACAAAAAGTTCAAGCAAGTTTATGAAGCGGCGTGGGCCCTGATGCATCGTTGCCTTTGGCCGCGGCTGGACTCTACGCCCATCACAGGAGAAGGAACAAACCACAGCTTTGGAACATTCTTCGCCAAGTCACGGAGGGATTGTGGATTGAATTGTCTTGCTTCCACCGCTCCACGCGATCTGCCCGCATGGCCTTCGTAGCCGAAAAACGCAAACCGCGGGGAAGCTCGGCTGGAACAGGCTCTGGCACCGAACTGCGGCCCAAAGCTGCAAAAAAGCAGCAAGGCCCGCCATCCCCGAGTTTCCTCCTGCCTTGGCGGTGGCGTCATCGGAGAGAGCGACCTCCTTGAAGTTGTCGTGGACATTCTTCTTCCTGGCTTGATTCCTTCTGGCCATCCGAACGGCCAGCTCCGGATGCTCGAAGTCTCCCTGAGCCAGCTCGAAGCGTTGCTGAGCATTTTGCATCTGTCCTAGGCATGAAACGTCGGCCCTTTTGCTCGGACGAACGAAATGGCCCGAAATCTTTGAACAGCCAACTTTAGCAAAGCGGACACCCCTTGGATTGGAGCATCACAGCCCGCCAGCTCGCTGTAACACCAAAGTTGTGGGAATTGCGGGCTGGTGATGGACACTTCAGAATAGTCAACTGTCCGAAATCATCAGGTGTGGCTTGGCTTGTGGCGAGGCGGGATGCCTCACATCAATTTGAGCCAGGCACCACGCCTGGCTCAATGGTCCCACCCCAAACCATTCCCCCACCCCCCCCCCAAAGGTTCCATAGTAGAGTTTTGAGGACCATCTTGGAGCAGGATTCCAAAGCAAGGTATGGAAATCCCAGGAACCTTCAGAGGTTTTTCACTTCTACTGGAGACGACTTTGCGGGTCACCCCTTCAAGCGCTTGGATTTTCCTTTTGGCTTCGCCTTCCCATCCAACATTGGAAACCGTCTTTGGGAATCAGTCAAAAAAGTGGGACCCCCAAATCTTCTAGATTGCCGTTTGGTCCCCTTTTAAAGCCGCGGCTCTTTAAGCCTAGGCGCTGTTCGCCGCCTTCCACCTGCCATAAGGGTCGGCTACCCGGAGCTTGTGCTCAAACTCCTCCAGGTCAACGGGCTGATCTCCGTCCGGCTTGTCTGGGCGAGGCACGGCCGGGTGGAATCAACGCGCACACACACACACAGAGGGACACGAAGAGATACAGCACGCAGAGAGACAGAGAGAGAGAGAGAGAGAGAGAGAGAGAGAGAGCAGAGAGTCACGCATAGATAGACACAGAAAGAGACACACGAGATAAAGAGAGAGAGAGAGAGAGGGAGAGGAGAGAGCCACGCATAGACAGACACAGAAAGAGACACACGACATAGAGAGCGAGAGAGAGAGAGAGAGGAGAGAGAGTCACGCAAAGACAGACACAGAAAGAGACACACGAGATAGAGAGTGGAGAGAGATAGAGAGAGAGAGAGAGAGAAGAAAAAAAGAGAGGGAGAGGGAGAAATAGAGAGAGAGAGAGAGTCAGAGAGAGAGAGACAGAGACAGCGAGGAAGACACGGAGAGAGGGAGAGAGAGAGAGAGAGAGAGACACAGAGAGAGAAAGAGGGCGAGAGACATACAGAGAGAGCGAGAGAGAAAGAGAGAGAGAGAGAGAGAGATAGAGACAAACACCAGGGGGTTTGTTGCAGTGGAAGGAGCAACAGCCAATGGGTTGGTTTTGGAAACACAAATTCATGGGTCCTTGGAAGTGTTTTGAAAGCGTTTCCGGGCAAACTCGGTTCTTTCCTCTCCCTTGCTTTCCGCCATCGCAAGTCGTTGCTGAGTAGACCTTGCGGGGAATTGACATGCTAGGTGAGGTTAGAATAAGGGTACCCTTTTTGCTGTAGTCTATTTTAGGGGGGGAACCCTCCCAAATAAAATGTAGTTAATGTTAACCCCGGATTTAAGAAAAACCCTTGTTGATTAATAGGGGGGGTGTCCCCTTTTAGTGGGGATTCATCACTTTTGGAGGGAACACCCCTTAATAATGGGGCGGGTTTATTAATCCTGGGTCAACATTGAAAGGGCACCACTGGGGGACCTAGTATGCTTTTTTGTCCCCAAGTTGCATTTTGGTCGTGGTCCGAACGCCCCGGCAAGCGCAGCAAGCAACTATGTTTCCCATTAAAACATCACCCCGCCAAGGGACACTCACCTTTCATGGGCAAAAAAGTGTTGTCTAAAATCACCAAAAAGGGAAACACAGGGACCCTGAATCATGAA